AAAAAAAAAAAAAAAAAACTGTTTAAGATTATAAAACAAACATTTATGTTAACATCAAAATATAACTAGATATATCGTGTTTCGTCGTTAAAAGTATCATTATTATTATGATAACTTGAACTTTTCAGCACGTCACGTTGTAATTAGTTAAAACCATTCAGCACTAATTCAATAAGATCAAATGATACAAATCAAAATATCTCTGAAATATAAAAATATCCTAGGTATGATTAAATATACCAATCTCTTATATAGCGGCAAAATATCCTGTATATAAAATCATTGTCTTACTCAGGGTCTATGGAAGGTTTATTGCAAATTTTTTTTCTCGTAATCAATCTTTCGACTTACAACTGATGACAAATAAACTCAATCAAATTCCTATAATGACGTCACCCTCATTAACATATTGGAAGATATAACTAGCTAAAAACTAGTGTGAACATATTGGAAGTATAAACCTTGATATCTTCAAGATCCATCACCCATCCAAATCTTATGATTTTTTTTTACCATTCAAATATTCACTTTATGTAGAATCAATGCTGAAAATATTAAGTTAGATGGTATAGACACTTTAGTCTATCATATGCTAATAGTTGCCTTTGAACCCAGTTATAGCTTGGGGCGAACCTCCATACGATTTACWTAACAGGTAAATGCATTGAAAAGTGCATGAATAGGTGTTTTGAACGCAGTTATAGCTTAGTGTACGTGTTACTCGCAGGAGTATTCCAAGATGGACGGTTTGATTACACTGTTGGTGTTCACGATAAATCTGCCCGTCCTTGCGGCTATGGAACAAGTCATCTCCCCAATCAACCGTGAGAAAGGATACCTGTTTGACAACTTTCCGGGTTACAAACTTCATTCATCTCAGTATCAAGGTATTGAACGCTATTTTTAGGCTAGTTGCTTTGTATACTAGGAATCATTTACATTCTTGTAAAGCTACCACCGCATCATTCGACGTAGTTTTTCCTGTTTTTCAATTTATCAGTAATGCGTTCCGCAGGTGGCGAATCCATGCAAGATTAATAGCGCAGCGCAGCCGTGACGTCATAAAAACGAAGACAAAGGCGAAATTCGGACAAACAAACTTACAAGTTTACTTTAAGCAGATAATTTTCACAGCCGATCGCAGTTGATCTTAGTTTACATGGGTTATTATTGTA